AGCAGGGTGTGGAGTGAGAGACAGATCTTCAGTAAAATTATTTGGAAAATGGTATTCCTTAAAATGCTTTTTCACTGTAACTAACAAATAACCCAAATCCAAGTGCCTTATAGTATCATTTCTTAAGGTGTGATCTATGGACCAGCAGCGTTGGTATCCCTTGGGCATTCAAATGAAGACTCTCAGCCCCTCTCTAGACTTAGAATCCACAGTAGAACATATTCCCCAGGTGATTTGTATGCACATTAAAGTTTGGGAAGCCCTGGTTAAAACCATAAGGATGTCATTGTCTTATATTACAATAAATCCCCTGGTGCGATAGCTATACATTAAGTATATGACTCCATAGTGCCATCAAAATCTGAGGTTCTTTCTTTTTTTTTTTTTATTAGTGTATAATTAACATACAGTGTTATATTAGTTTCAAGTATACAATAAAATAATCCAACAATTCTATATGTTTCTCAGTGTTCATCAAGCTAAGTGTACTCTTAATCCCCTTCACCTATTTCATCCATCCCCTCACCCAATACCTCTCTGGCAGCTACCGAATTTCTTTTCTTTTCTTTTAAAATTTTTAATGTTTAGTTATTATTTTTGAGAGAGAGAGAGAGGAGAGAGTGCAAGCGGGGGAGGGGCAGAGCGAGAGGGAGACACAGAATCCGAAGCAGGCTCCAGGCTCTGAGCTGTCAGTGCAGAGCCCGACATGGGGGCTCAAACCCATGAACCGTGAGATCATGACCTGAGTCGAAGTCGGGCGCTCAACTGACTGAGCCACCCGGGTGCCCTACAAATTTGTTTTCTGTATTTAAGAGTCTATTTTTTGGTTTGTCTCTTTCCTTTGTTCGTCTGTTTTATGTCTTAGGTCATTGTATGAGTGAAATCATGTGATAGTTTTCTCTGACTGGCCTATTTCACTTGCCATGATAGTCTCTAGTTCCTTTCAGTTTATTGGTTTTGGTAGCCTCCTTATGTCCTTAAATGATTTTACAATTGGAAGTTGGCTGTAGCAGTTCCCAGCATCATATCCTGACATGCTTCTGCCTCTAGATGTTGTCAGAACTATCTCCAGTCTGGCGCTAGTTTGTTCTGGTTCCACGGTCTTCTCCCTCCATTGCCAGTCACGTATTTATCCTTCATTTTCCTTTCGCTTTTACAGGCCTTTCCAAATGACCACCTGAAAACCATAAAATGAAACCAAGGAGAAAGCAAACTCTTTTCTTGCCCATGGGTGGTAGATTTTTATTTTATGAATTTGACAAATGTCCCTAATTTATTGGCATCTTTAGAATGTTAGTTGGAAATGTGGAATTTCTTTTTCACTTTAGTAATATTTTAAATTGAACAATATGAAATAGTCATTTTCATGGAATGAAAACTCATGTATTAGCAGCTTCATATGACTCAACCTAACATAAAGAAGGAAGGTAAGTCCATAAAGAAGGAAGATAAGTCAAAGTTAAGAGCACAGAGTTGGGTCACAGATAGTTTAGCATTTATATACTGTCTTAGCTTGTCACTGAGACAACTTGGGCAAGTTCTTTAACCTTCCCAAATTCCATTGTCCTCAGAAATAAAAGAATAATGGTATTATCTACCTCAGTTAGCGATAATGAAGACCAAATGTAATTATTCAGTGTTTTTCAAACATGTCAGTCATGTTCCACCTTCACAATTTCTTTCATATCTGCACTCTTCTTTTAAAAAAAAAATGTTTAGGGGCGCCTGGGTGGCGCAGTCGGTTAAGCGTCCGACTTCAACCAGGTCATGATCTCGCGGTCCGGGAGTTCGAGCCCCGCATCAGGCTCTGGGCTGATGGCTGATGGCTCAGAGCCTGGAGCCTGTTTCTGATTCTGTGTCTCCCTCTCTCTCTCTGCCCCTCCCCCGTTCATGCTCTGTCTCTGTCCCAAAAATAAATAAACGTTGAAAAAAAAAATTTAAAAAAAAAAAAAAAATGTTTATTTCTTTTGAGAGCGAGATTGCGAGCCACAGAGGGGCAGAGAGAGAGGGAGAGAGAGAATTGCAAGCAGGGTCAGCATCAAGGCTTGATCTCAACACGGGGTTTGATCTCAAGACCATGAGATCTTACCTGCGATGAAATCAGGAGTCAGACACTTAACTGTCTGAGCCACCCAGTTGCCCCTGCACTTTTATTATATTTAAGACTCCTTCTTAAAATAATTATCCTTACTTAGCTTCATCCTAAACTGTTTGATTTTATATACGCATTGAAGTTATATGCAGACTCACTGTATGTACGTGTGTATACAAACATACACATGCATATATTGTTCAGCCATATAGATATATGCCAAGACATACTAAAATAATTTCATAAGTTTTTCCTTTTGCCATGAAAATCATTCTGCAAAGCACAAATAGATCTCATTCCATCATTTAGGATCCACTGAAATAGTGCATTTTATGGTTACTAACAGAGTTATCACACGAAAAGTGTTGAATACATGTTAACCAATATAGTTAAAAATTTATTTTAAAGATATTTTCACCCAAGGGGTAGTTATCCCCCACCCCTTTCTAAAGTTACCTCTTCTACCACATTTAAAAAAGGGGCATTTGTGTTGCAAAGGCTTCTAAACAGGCTTCTGATAGCAGTGCCTCCTAGTGGTTGTTTCTGTCTCTGCTCAGGCATTGCCAGGAGCCACTGTTCATTCACTTCCCTGCTGCTCGTTCTGAGAACTCTGGCTTGCGATTCACCTGCGTATATTGAGGCTGTCTATTTGCAGGCCTCAGTGAGCAGAGGAAGCATAGCACCTTTTACCACCTATTAACTTATTCCATATAACGCCTGCACGGAAAGCAGTAAATAGTGACCAGACATTACTGAATACTTAAGAGTTTCTAAAGTAACAGCCTTGGGAAAGCAAAAACATTTTTGAACATTATAGTGAAAATAATTATTCTTAGGGTCATCTGAGTGGCTCAGTCGGTTGAGCATTCAATTTTGGCTCCAGTTGTGATCTCATGGTTCATTCGAGCCCCACATGAGGCTCCATGCTGTCAGCACAGAGCCTGCTTCAGATCCTCTGTCCGCCCCCCTGCCCCGCCCTCTTTGCCTCTCCCCGACTGGCACACTCTATCTCAAAAATAAACATTAAAAAAATTGTTCTTAAAGGCCAAAGGAAAGCCATACAAAGTTCACTCTTCACAGAGGCTTCCCCACAGGGACATCCTACTCACTAGGAGTTTCCAGCATAGGTATGGAATTCAGTGAATATCTGTTGAATGAAATGTCTGTCTAAAAGTTTACAAAAAAGGAAGTAAGTATTTTAAAATTAAATTGCTTATTAACTCGAACAAATGTGTGTTGTAATAGTTCTTCAAGTATAAATAACATTGTGGGAATTTTTCTTCAGTTTTTGAAAGGTGAGATTTGTATCTTAATGTAAAGACAAACTGGGCAGGAAAAACAACAAAAGTAGAGTGATACTCTAGCTAATTCTCATGAAATCTTATTCTCGGGTCAGTTCTCAAGGGGTAGACTGAACCAATAAAGTGAATGATTTATATACTTTACAATGTAAGGATGATATTCTTTATCGAAGAGGCTTAAACTAGCATCTTTGAGTTTTTGCTTTTACTTAAATGGGTGCTTCTTCATTTATGTTACTTCTCATCTTCTCATAAAAAGAAGATGACTGCCTTTTTTGCTTGATAAATGAAAGCTTATTCTCATAGGCTTTTGACTGCAGTGTGCCTCAGTGAACATGTGTCTGTGAAAGGTAAAAGATCAGTAAATGGTGAAATCTAAATTATATTAAACCCTCAACTATGTGTGTATTTTGTGTGTTTAAACCTGTTGACTAATGGAAATTTCTGGTAAAAATTTTATAAATCACAATAGTAAATTCCTAATTCAAATTATGTCTTCTTTATTAGTGTTATAAGATTAATGTTCAGCATACTGTAGTTTCCTAAAAATGCTTTAAACCTGTCTTCATGAAGAACATTTACTTCAAAATAGGTATTAACACTTCTCATTTGAGTCTCATATTTTTATTGTATGGATAAAATAACCTGTTTTAATTTTCATCCTCACCATGCAGATTGATAAGCAAGATGTTGTCCCTTGTCCCTGATGCTGGCAATCTAATTGAGAAGGTTTAAGTTGGTTTTAGGGCATATAGCCAGGCTTTAAATTCATTACCCAGCCCACTGTTGTTTACATCTTTGTAAACAATACATCTGTGTCACTTATCTATTTCTGCATAACAAATGTCTCTAAATCTTAGTGGCTTAACACAATACTTTATAATTACATCATGATTCTGTAGAGCAGGGATGTGGCCAGGGTTCATCTCGGTGGTGGTTGTTCTGCAATTGTGATATGGCTGAGGTCACTCTTTGGCCTGCATTCAGCAGGAAGCTCAACTTTTAAGATAGCATTTTATCCTCTAGAGTCACTTACAACATGGCCTCTCATCATTCAGGAGTGTAGCCTGGTCTTCTAACACCATGGCGGCTGGGTTCTGAGACAGAGTATAAATGCTTCCTTGTTCCCTTACAGCATCTATACTTGGAACTCGTAGAGTGTCACGTCTGCCATGTTCTGTTGGTCAAAACAAATCACAAGGCTAGTCCATATTCATGAGGATGGGAAATAGATTCTGGGGCAGAGTGGCAAAAAATTTGTGGCCATCTTTAATCACCATACATATTAAAATAATGGAGGTCTAAATGAACCATTTCCAGGATATGCTGTTAGTTCAATTATCAGAGATGGGTCACACTTTACTTAACATGTTCACAGTTAGTTGTGTGAAACTTTCTAAAACTCAAGATGTATGAATAAGCTGGAGAAAGAATAACTTCAGTGGTGATTAATCATGGGCTCTGCTTCTCTTCTTAATGTCTATTAGATACCAAACAATGTGAACATGCCATAGACTAAAACATCAACAGTTTTATCTTCTAGGTTTAATAATAATAAGTAAAGTTATTTTGATAGAGGTAGTAATAGACATCGTTCACATTTTCAGCTTACATAAAGTTCTAATGGATCTTCAGAATCAGCAACTGAAAGAGTTAAATGATTGGCTAACTAAAACAGAAGAGAGAACAAGGAAAATGGAGAAAGAGCCCCTTGGACCTGATATTGAAGACCTAAAACGCCAAGTACAACAACATAAGGTTAGTATATTTAATGCTGTTTGCTTTCTTCTGGAGAACAAACTCTGTGTATACATATGTGTTTTATATACACACATTTATACATATATCAGGGGTTACAGGTAGGAAGGAATTAAAGCTTCAGTTAAGAAGAGTTTGAGAGTCATTTTTACCTAATATTTTCTGAAACGTTTGTGTTTTTCAAATGTGGCATAATTAGGCTTTTCATATTTGAAAAAATATCAAATGCATTCCTGGAGGACAACAACACTGGATATGTGATTTATTAAAGTTTTGGTTTCTTGGAAGAGGGACTCTGTAGGGATTACTTGCAATGCAAATTTAACTAATAAGACATGATTTTTTTGTACGTTTTTACCTTCAGTTCAGAAAGTCTTAGAACAGGCGAAGTTTGATTAAAATGAACATCTGTAACATTGCTTTTCTATGAAATACAGACTCTATTATTGCAAATAATCTATTATTATTATAGAATCTATAATTTGCAATACTTCCATCGTATCTTTTTTCAGTTTATTGGTATATTTACAAATTATGCTCTTTGGTCGCCAAAAAGCATTTGTTGTTTCTGTGAGTAGGATTTCTACAGGTTTATTTCTTTTTTTTTCTTCAGTATCCATTTTTTAAATTCAGATAAAATTGACATATAACATAATACACATTTTAGGTATATGATATAATGATTCAAAAATCTGTTTACTCTGTGAAATGATCAGAATAAGTCTAGTTACCATTCCTTACCATACGGAGTTGTACATTTTTTTATTTTGTGATGAGAACTGTAAAGATGGACCCTCACAGCAACTTTCAAACATGCACTACAATATTACTGACTGTCGTACCAGGCTGTACATTGCATACAGATGATTTACTGTTTTAGAAGTGGAAGTTTGTCCCTCAGCCGTTTTGCCCACCTCCTCACCCCCTCCCCTCTGACATCTACCATTTAGTTCTCTTTATCTGTAAGATTTGTTTTGTTTTCTATCTTCTGCATAGAAGTGGAATCATATGGTATTTGTCTTTCTGTGTCTGACTTACTGCACTTACCTTAATACCATCAAAGTACATCCATGTTGTCACAAATACCAAGAATTCATTTTTTACGTCTGAGTATATTGCAGTATGTATATATGTATGTATAAATACATACACACACACACACACACACACACGCATACCACATCTTCTTTACTCATCCATCAGTGGACCCTGAAGTTGTTTCCATATCTTGGCTATTGTAAATAATGCTGCAATGAACATAGGAGGACATATATCTTTTTGAGTTATTGTTTTCATTTTGTTTTGATAAACACCCAGAAGTGGAATTGCTGGATCATATGATAGTTCTATCTTTAGTGTTTTGAGGAAACTTCATACTGATTTTCATAGCGGTTACATAAACTTACTTTCCTAACCACAGCGGACAAGGTTATTTTTTTCTCCACATCCTCCCCAACACTTGTTATTTCGTGTTTTTCTTTTCTTTTCTTTTCTTTTCTTTTCTTTTCTTTTCTTTTCTTTTCTTTTCTTTTCTTGATAATAGCCATTCTAACAAATGTGAAGTAAGAGCTCATTATGGTTTTCATTTCCATTTCCCTGATGATTAGTGATGTTGAGCATCTTTTGATGTGCCTGTTGGAAAAATGTCTATTCAGATCGTTTGCCTATTTTAAAATCTGATTGTGTTTTTGTTGTTGAGTCGTTTAAGTTCTTTATATATTTTGGATATTAACCCCTTGTTCGGTATATGATTTCCAAATATCTTCTCCCATTCATTAGGTTATTCTTTTCATCATGTTGATGGTTTCCTTTGCTGTGCAGAAGCTTTTTGGTTTGATGTAGTCCCACTTGTTTATTTTTGCTTTTATTACCTTTGCTTTTAAGTCAAATCCAAAAAAAAAAAAAAAATCATCACCAAGACTGCTGTTATGGAGTTTACCACTTATGTATTCTTTTAAGAGTTTTATGGTTTCAGTTCATACATCAAGTCTTAATCCATTTTGAGTTAATTTTGGTGTATGGTATAAGTGTTGTCTAGTTTCATTTAAATGTGGGTCTGCCCTTTTTTCAACACCATTTATCGAAGAGGGTGGCCTTTCTTCATTGTACGTTCTTGCCTCCTTTGTTGTAAATTAACTGACCACATACGCATCATTTATTTCTTGGATTTTTATTATATTCCCTCAATCTGTGTGTGTGTGTGTTTTATGCCCAAACCGTACTGTTTTGATTGTTATAGCTTTGTAATATAGTTTGTAATCAGAGAAGATCATGCTTCCAGCTTTGTTCTTCTTTGTCAGCATTGCTTTGGCTACTCACGTCTTTTACGGCACTGTACAAATTTTAGGATTGTTTGTTCTAGTTCTGTGAAAAATGCCGTAGGTTACATGTGGGTTGCATTGAATCTGTAGATTGCTTTGGTAATATGGACATTTTCATAATATTAATTCTTCCAAGTCATGATCATGAAATATCTTTCCATTTATTTGTGTCTTCTTCAGTCTTTCATCAATATCTTGTAGTTTTTAGTATATAGATCTTTCACCTCCTAGGTTAAATTTATTCCTAGGCACTTTATTCTTTTTGAAGCAATTGTAAATTGGGTTGTTTTCTTAATTTCTCTCTTGGATAGTTTGTTGTTCCTGTGTATAAACACATTTTTGTATAATGTTATTGTATCCTGCAATTTTACTATATGTATTAGTTCTAACAGTTTTCAGTGGAGTCTTTAGGATCTTGTGTGTTTAAAGTCATGTTGCCGGCAAATAGTGACGGTTATTTCTGAGTTGGAATTCTGAAAGTGCTTCATTCTAATAGCCATTAAAAAACTAGCTCTGGGTTTTACTATAGGAACAAGAGCTTGCTCAGTCCATCAAGAAACACACACACACACACACACACACACACACACACACACACACACAGAATAACCTTCATAATTGGTCCAGAGTAGGCTTGCCAAATCTGGAAAATAAAAATCCAAGAAACCTAGTTAAATTTGCATTTCAGATAAGCAACAAATACTGTTTTAGTGGAAGTATGTCCCAAATTATTCACTGTTTATCTGAAATTGAGATCTTAGTTGGCATCCTGGATTTTATCTGACAACTCTATTTAGGATTCTGTGGTTCTTGGATTCATGGCTTTGAAAGGAAATATCTGCTCCTTCAACTCATTCCTGCTAAATCTGCATCTCGCTCAAGTTTATTGTCTCTTTTTATAACATTTTTCAGAGGTAGCTTGGAAGTTATTCTTTGCAGATGCAAGATACTGTTCCTTATAAGTCGCAGAGTTCTTTTCTTATGTAATGAGCTTCTGATTCAATAACAAACAAGGCTGGCCTTAGCTTTTGCTGCCCTCACAGCCATTTTGGCCATAGCAGTTTACCGTGGAGCAGTATGGGGACAGCTATAGCTATGGTAATCCAGGTACTCTGCACCCAGGGGGAAAAAAAATAAAACATCAACTGTGTTCTAATTTTCATGTGAAAGTTGTGATGAAAAGAGGCTAATTAGTCACATAGGTTTTTTTTAACGTTTATTTATTTTTGAGACAGAGAGAGACAGAGCATGAATGAGGGAGGGGCAGAGAGAGAGGGAGACACAGAATCGGAAGCAGGCTCCAGGCTCTGAGCCATCAGCCCAGAGCCCGACGTGGGGCTCAAACTCACGGGCTGCGAGATCGTGACCTGAGTTGAAGTCGGACGCTTAACCTACTGAGCCGCCCAGGCGCCCCTGTCACATAGGTTTTAAGTGAACATCTGATAAAGAACTTAGATCCAGTGCTAGATGTCAAACTGGACCACATTTCATGTGTGGATCATGCACTCCTATTGTAGACACTATGCAACCCTCTTCCCCTTGGTCTGCCCTGGAAGTGTCATGCAGACAGTTTCTGTATACACTAATGGCTTCTCTGTGTCTGAAGACATTTGCTGCCACAAGAGAGTCTCAGCTAGTTCGGGGGTGGGAAGGAAGCAGAGTTAGTGCTGAGAGCTTCCATTAATTAACCCATGAGGAATGGGAGATGATGGATAAATGCCCAAGAATCCTTGGCCCATGGTAGGACAATCCCAAGGTGTTTCTTAATTCCCACAGTCTCTCAAAGGTGTCCCAGCAAGACTGGGCCCAGGTGTCCATGAGGTAAACTGCCTCACATTCTCACTCATAATGCCTCCTGAGATCACTTCCCAATTAAACTCTTTGCACCTAAATCCTTGGTTCAAGATTGGTTTGCGAAAGAACTCAACGTGACAGCCTTCTTACCTGGAGGCCAGAGTACTATCCAGCTTTGACACTAAATAAATGTGTAGTTTTCATAAGGGTCACCTTGGGGGCTCAGTCAGTTAAGTGTCTGACCCTTGATTTTGTCTTGGGTCATGATCTCATGGTGAGGTCAAGCCCCGAGTCCGGATCTGCGCTGACAGCACAGATTCTCTCTCTCCCTGTGTCTCTGCCCCTCCCCTGCTAGTGTGCTCTCTCTCCCTCTCTCTCTCTCTCAAAATAAATAAATAATCTTTAAAAAAAAGTAATTACTTTTTCTCATGTTCTCCATATCTTCACATTGGAAATAATACCGGTTTTAATTTTTCTGTTGGTTTTAGAATGTGAGGCTTTTTAGGAAAGGGCAAGAGTAAGGCTGGTAACATCAGAGGGAATGATGTTGACACTGGATCTCTGTAGTATGAGGAAGCCAGGAGGGATTCCAAAAGAGAAATGGCAGAATAATAAGAGAAAGCCTGACAATTGATAATAATCTTTTTTACTTGAAGCAATTACGGGGAGAAGAAAATGAAACAATTTATAAAGGAGTTAAATTTATCTATCTATCTATCTATCTATCTATCTATCTATCTATCTATTTATTTAAAGTTTTTATTTAAATTCCAGTTCACAGGCCGTATAATATTCGTTTCATGTGTACAGTATAGTGATTCAGCACTTCCACAGAGCACCTGGTGCTCCTCAGGACAGGTGCACTCCTTAATCCCCATCACCTGT